TAACCACGATTCTGCTTAAACTGCTTGACGTAAAGATTTTATTTTTGGCAAACGGATTTTTCGAAAGTCAAATTCCAACGAAATAAAACTACGCCTCAGATATTACCAAGTTATATAATAATATCGCCATATTGTTTTTTCTCATGCTGACATAAATGTGAGAAAATTTTATCCAGTTTGTATGTTAATGGAAATTCTTGCTTTGCTTTATCATCACTATTACAAATGATTAATTCGACGCGAACGAAGTCGCTGGTACACGCTAGTTAATTATAAGACTTGTTATATTCCAATTTCTATAAAGGAAATTACGAAAAACTTTTCACATTGAAAAGGGGGCTAAATAGAAAAAAAATATTCCTTATTTTATACAGGGTGTCCCAGGCTGAGCGTGCATTAGAAGTTTGGTTTGGTTTGGAGAAACAGAACTACAATAGTTAAATCGGAGATTTTTTGTACATCATTGTTTCACAACGAGGTCTATCGATTAAAACTATTTCCAGAATGGAGGCACTTCCGGAAATAGTGGAAGCTGATAACAACTTTTTGAAGTGAAACTTCTTTAAGCGCGTTGGGAGTAAAAAATCAAGGCCGTGACACCGGACTTCAATGATGGCCATGACGCACATTCGGGATAGATTTGCCCCGTTGTAAAACAATTTAACCTCGCTATATCGTGATATTCTACCCCGATGAAAAATAAGCTTGTGGCAACATTGTTTTTTTTAATTTGAAATGGGTACCCCCATTTTTTATTACAAAAAAGTAAAATAAAGTAAATATTTCAGTTAACGTCTCCTTTTTGCTGCCAGGACTAATCTGAACGGGACCTACTTTGTTTACGCGGAATCCGAACCGCGGTCCTCGGCCATATCATGGTCAATGGCCTACCGACTTGGCAAGTGTCTAAATCGACTCTACTCACGAGATATCCGATCTCATCCGGCCTCGAACCGGCGTGAATGAGCAGTGTGTGTCAATAGATTTTACACTTTTGCCTTTATTGGACAACAGCACGATATAGAGTTTCGAACCAGTCACCGGTCCATCCACTAGTATCGCCTTACGTCGCTTAACTTCGGTGTTCTAATGGGAACCAGTGTTTCGACGTAGCTGCGGGCCGTTGCCACTTTTTTATTACATAATTAAATTCTCGGTAAAGTAAAGCTTTATGAATTTTGATATATCAAATACTCTATTCTAACATTAAGCTTGTGAGAAAAAAAAATGCTGGAGGAAAAAAACGGCCTGTCGAAAAAATTTGTATAGCCTAAACGTCAAATTTAGTGATTATCGCAGCCACTGTGACATAAGGAGAAGACATGTGGCTATCTATTTCGAAAATTAAATTATTTGAATGTCATATAAACGTAAAACGTAAAATCCTTACTTTACTTTTTATATTATTACGTATTCCTGTAGATAGCAATTAAAAAACGAATAAATAGCCAAAAAAAACGACAAAATCTGGATTCGTGACCGCACATCAAGAGAGTGGACCCGTTAATCAAACGTAGCATTGTTTGGGGAAACGAATGTTGAACGAACTTTGGGATTAATTAAAATTTTAATCCAATTACCGCGAAACGTCGTATTGGAAGTGGCATCTTGCCTGGTCGTGACACACGTCGCACGCAACACCCCAACTCGCCTCGCACCCTTCTCCCTCGTCTGCAACGACCCCAGCCAATAGCAGTCAAGCGTTAGTAATAGATCTGAAATTGCTCCGAAAAATTCCTTGTTGAGTCGAAATCTCGCAACGTACAAAAATGCAGTTCCATTAATACTAGCTGATTTATACGATCAGTTCTAAAAGTAGACACTATAGATACAGGGTGGTCCGAACTGTATTCCGGAAACTTTGGCAGCATATTCTGCAGATAAAAATAAGTAAAAAACTTCGTATAAATGTATGTCCTAAAATGAAATGAAAGTTTCATTTTTATTTCGATTTTTTCCAAATAATTTCCGACGTAACGTCAATATTTGAATGAAAATTGGTGTCTGGAAGTTTTTTGACATGAGAAATTTGATTTTGATGTCAATATGACTCCTACTAGTAGAGGGCGCCACCTACATATTTTTTAACTGGTTTGAAGACTAATAACTTTTCGTCCGTACCTGCATAAAACTACTGTGTAAAAAAATATTCATTTAAGACGCTGTTTACGTGAAAAAGGTCTCTTAATAAAAATCGCTTTTTTTCCTCGGTAGTTTTATATAGGTACGGACGAGGGGTGTCTCATTCGGGTAAAAAATGTACACGTACTGCCAAAATATCCTTCCACTGCTAAGCCACTGCCAATGTCTATGAAGAAGACTGCCTATGACTGCCATGTAATTATTATAGGCGACTGCCATAAGACTGCCAATGACTGCCAGCGACTGCCAAGAAAATGTACATGTAATTCCAATAGTGAGACACCCCTCGGGTACGGACAAGAAGTTATTACTCTTCAAAACAGTTAATCCGCCCTCGGCGCCCTCTACCAGTAGGAGTCATATTGACATCAAAATCAAATTTCTCATGCCAAAAAACTCCCAGACACCAATTTTCATCTAAATATTGGCGTTACTTCAAAAATTATTTGAAAAAAATCGAAATAAAAATGACATTTCTACACCCTGTATCTCCGAAACTAAGCATTTTAGGACATACATTTATACGAACTTATTTACTTATTTTTATCTGCAGAATATGCTGCCGAAGTTTCCGGAATACAACTCTGACCACCCTGTATAGTATAGTGTAAAATCGCTTATTTCTGGGGCTTACTCAACCGGGTCTCACAATGCAAATTCACCTCAAATATCCATTTAGTTGATCATTGGCAAGCACTCTCTTATTGTACATGAAAATAACAAAACAAACATTTACTGATCTGGATAAAATTGATAATTAAATAGTAAGACTCACCCGGGGGTATTCCGCCCCCTAACCACTGATATCACTCACATTCTATTCAATATATTACATTTCATATCTTCCATCTAATTCAAATATTATTCGGATCTATTGGTTAATAATCTTCAACAACTAGCTAGTGTCACCTGAAATAGTATAGGGGCTTCCCCCGAACGCAATTCTGCCGCTAAACAGATTCGCATCCCAATCGAATATGCTAATTGGGGTAGCTCACTACCCCAACGCCGCATCGTGTCAATCGAGAAGACAAGGGAGACCTCAAACTCTCAAGACCAACCTCGAAGGTAAGACGTCACACCACAAGAGGTTTTCTTCTGGTCAAACGACCCGTTGCCTTACAGTACTTGCAACGTTTATAGTCAAAAGACTTTCAACCCCCAAATATCAGCTCTATGACAAAACACAACACAGCCGGCCGGCATATCAACTACCGACTCGCCTCCGGCAAGCTAAGCCTCCTCTTATATCGCAATTTTACCGGATCGCAAATATTTACATTACTTGCCAATGAATCATACTATTTTCTCTAATCGACTTTCAAATAGAGTGTTTTAGTATTACTAGATAAATAAATAGAGAGTTTCCGAAGGAATGCATATTGTTTATTAGAATAGTGAATAAATAAAAGCATTATTATGACGAACTTATTTTCCAAGTTTTACAATAGTGAGGGGCACTACGATTCTTTTTAGTAAATCGAATCACGCGATTCGATTTCTCATAATGAATCATATAAATCATACAAACACATTTTGCGTATCAAAGTATATGTGGTATAAATAGATATTTTTTTGTAAATAACTTTCACATCGCTTGCGTTCTACATCCATGATGTTTGTTTAGAGCTTTTGTTCGAGTCTATTGATGGTCTACTACAAAATTACGCATTCTTCATAATTATGAAGACCCCGTTAAATTATAGTTTATTTTTTTTACTAATATTTGAATGTTGATTATCTATATTACAAAAGTTTGGATACCCAAGCTCATAGTATATAATTCTAATGAATATTATATAAACACCGATTTTTTTTAACTATTATATAATTCTAATTAATTTTAAAATTAAATACTATGACAATATAAAAAACCGTATTGTAAGCAATGAATTAGTTATCATGATTCTTTGAACGAACAAGCCGTAGAAACGAACGAGTCGCGTTGTGATCTGATTCATTTGTTACGACTCTTTTTTAGGGCTCGTTAGTACAGATTTTATAGATCTGTGCATACTGGTCACTGTTCAATTTAATGGACCGTGTTGTAAGCAATGAATCAATTCTCACGATTTTTTTTTAAACGAGATGTAGAGCCTTTTCTGCTCGAGAAATTTGTCTTTAGTCGGTACGGAAAAATACTCAACATCTCGTGAACTCCAGAAATCATTTCCGAGCGTTTGGTAACTAAAAACACTCATAATATATCACGTAACGTAGAATAGCATTGTTTTCGTCATCGGAAAGCATTGTCACTAAATAAGAAACCGCCTATAAGATAATGCTCGTGTGTTTCTGAAAGCTTATTGAAACTAAAAAAATATTGGACTTCCATTGTCTTTATTTATTTTGCTTACACAACGTTTCGGTTAGAAGTATCAGAAGTGTCTGACCGTTATCAAGTGTGAACTCTGACCAAAATTGACAGAATCAACCATCAGATGCAAAGTAAATAAAGACAATGGAAGTCCGAAATTCTTTTAATGTTAATACTGAATCATTGTCTACTACATTCAACGCTTATAGCTTTGAATTTGATAGTCTTCTGGTAGTCTAGTTTTAGTTGGTATAATATGCTCGAATTAAAAAATAATATCGAAAGTTAATTCCTATCCTATAAATTGAAAAATTTTTTGACAATAAAGGCATTTATTTATTTATTTTATCACCTTAGCTACTACAATATACCAGAACACTTTACTTTTAAGATTGGACGCGAGTTCAGCTAATCATGTTAGCGTCATCAGCAGATGTTTAAAACTGGACAGAACAATTTTATTCATCTGTTTATGATGCTAATAGCGCTTTAGTTTGGTTTAACTTTACTTATGTAAATATTATTAAAAATTAATAAGCTATTAAATATAAAATTGTGATATTTATTTAAAAAAAATATATTACATTTTTATTAATTTAGCAAGGCATAACTTATTTAAGGTTCGTCAGATGGTGGTGGTGGAGGAGATGGTTCACCGGATGGTGGAGTGGGTAAGTCAGAAGGTGGGCTTGGTAAGTCAGATGGTGGAGAAGGCTCATCCTTCACTACTTTAAGAGGTTCATCAGATGGTGGTGGTGGTGGAGATGGTTCACCGGAGGGTGGAGTTGGCAAGTCAGAAGGTGGGCTTGGTAAGTCAGATGGTGGAGAAGGTTCGTCTTTCACTGCTCTGCGTCTACGTGGTTCATCAGATGGTGGTGGTGGTGGAGATGGTTCATCGGATGGTGGAGTTGGTAAGTCAGACGGTGGGCTTGGTAAGTCAGATGGTGGGGAAGGCTCGTCCTTCACTACTTTAAGGGGTTCATCAGATGGTGGTGGTGGAGGAGATGGTTCGCCTGATGGTGGAGTTGGCAAGTCAGATGGTGGGCTTGGTAAGTCAGATGGTGGAGAAGGCTCGTCCTTCACTACTTTAAGAGGCTCATCAGATGGTGGTGGTGGAGGAGATGGCTCCCCGGATGGTGGAGTAGGTAAGTCAGATGGTGGGCTTGGTAAGTCAGATGGTGGAGAAGGCTCGTCCTTCACTACTTTAAGAGGTTCATCAGATGGTGGTGGTGGTGGAGATGGTTCCCCGGATGGTGGAGTTGGTAAGTCAGATGGTGGGCTTGGTAAGTCAGATGGTGGAGAAGGCTCGTCCTTCACTACTTTAAGAGGTTCATCAGATGGTGGTGGTGGAGGAGAAGGTTCACCGGATGGTGGAGTTGGCAAGTCAGATGGTGGGCTTGGTAAGTCAGAAGGGGCAGCTACATGGTTTGCTTTATGCCAACCAAATAAACTGAAGGCTTCGCTTGTCTAAAAAATGTATATAATAATACATAGTAGGATAAAATAAAACATTAAAAACAATTGCTTATATTTACTTAAATCGTAAATAAATAATATATATAATTAGGTTTTTAGAAAATATAGAAACTTACCTGAATAGTGGCTAATGCCACGAATGCTACTACTGCTAAACCTAAAACCTTCATTTTGAATGAAGCTCTTGATCGGTTCTGAATAATTTTTGTAGTAGAAATCGGGTTTATTTATACTGCCGATGATCAAGTGGGTTGGTGTTTTTATCTATCAGATGTTTCCGCTTATTTATCAAATTCGATCTGTTAAATAATTGTTTAGAAAACATCCAGTTTTGTTTAGAACATCGTGATTGACGTACTATCATAAACGTTTTTCCATTTGTATATTAATTAATATTTTTTTGTTCAAATAGTCGGTTTAGTTTAACTCCGCAATACATTCCTCTTTAGTGATTAGTGCATCAAATACGAAATATTGTTTTAAATATCCAACAACTAAATTTATTTATTATATATTAGACTATAATTTTCTATTGTTTAATGAATTTTAGCTAAACCAGATTTTATTTTTCTAAATATTCTTTTTCTATTAGCTATTGCTATAGCAATATTAAGTAATGATAAAATTATTTTAAAGTCGATAGAACCTTTTAATAGCATGTTTTAGTAAAAATCTTATTATAAAAAATTAAAAGCGGATCTACTTCACTATGGACATAATATTTGCAAATATTAAAACTTTGTATGGAAAAATCAAAATTTCAGAATAATATTTAAACATTTATACTTCTAATATTTTCTAGATTTGTTTTTATTTGTAAAATGGTTCTGTGTGCTTATTATATTAAAAAATATATTTAATTAATTTATTTTTATTTGTTATTTTTTAGAAATTTAAAGGTTTAATTTGGTTAGGTTAAAAAATAGTTGTATTTAAATATTTTGTTTTCTTTTCTTTTCTTTGTTTTTTTTGCTTCCGACAGACGGGAGGACCTTAAAGTTTACGTATTCTGAAAGTATTAAGCATTTCTGTCAGTTAGTCAAATTTATTTTACTAGTAAAAAGACACTGAGGTAGGTTCTGTTTGTAAAATATCTGAATATTTTATTTTAATGTAATTAATTAATAAGGTATTTTATATTTATATTAAACTTATAACTAGGTTGATTAACTTTTCAACATTACAATACTCATTTTTCTTTCAATCTAAGTTGAAGTCGGTGCAACTAGAGAGATGGTTCCTGAACCATCTGACCTGAACCTGATAGTGATTATTGTGTTGTTGGAAGTATAATTTGTGAAAATTCTAAAAATAAAAATAAAAAGTAAATATTTTTATATTCTTCAGTAGATTTAACTTGTATTATAAATTATTATTCGAGCTAATAGAACTTTTTAGATGAGTTCAACTACGGTAGCGAGCATAGTTTACGCACCGATCTTGCTAGCAGATACATAACTGGAGCTATTTCGGTTATAACGATTCTTTTTAAAAGTAAATAATTATAATTTTAGGAGACGTTTATAAAAAATTAAGCACTAGTTGATTAAAACAAGTTTACCACTAATATTGCAAATTATAATTTATCCTTTCATAGTATATGCTTATTTAATTTTTTGATTATGTAATGGGCACTTTGTTTACTCACTTAATTCCCTGCTTAAATCCATTTTTGCTTTTGGTCAAATTAGTTTGAGAAGTTGTGAAATGCTGTAAAATCTTGCTTCGGGCGAGTTGAATGTTCGGGAAAGTTGAATTATTAATGTTATTGCACCCAAGAACCACCTAACGTGTCAACATTTTTTCGACAGCTTTATTAACATTTGAAATTGTCACAACACAATACAAAGCGACGCTCAGTTTTTTTTTTACTTAATTTATACTACCTGAATTAAAGCAGCTACCTGAATAGAAGCAGAGGACGATCTCCAAGTCGCTGGACAGAAGATATTAACGGAGTGGCTGGAAACTGGATTCAAGTGGCACAAAATAGAAAGAAATGGCTAGAGTTGAGGGAGGCTTTTCTTCAGCAGTGGACGGAATAAGCTAAATGATGGTGATAATACTACCTGAAACAGCATTGCATCACACAAACCTCGTACCTGAGTGTTGTATAGTTTCAATAACTGCACTATTAAAAAATAAAATACTTAAATATTATGACAAAGCCACAGTTTTGATATGATTTCAATGCGATCAGCATCGGAACTGCGTGAAATACAGAGCCGAAAACTTCTGATTTCTGCTGTATCAAGCGCTGGGGTAGGAATTTTTAAAATCGACATAAATGGCACCAAGTCTATTGTGCTATACAGTATATTTTAGAAATTAATTCATATTTTGCTTTTTAAATTAAATAAATCAAATCCTTTAAAAAAATCTTTTTTTTATTTTACTTCTGTTTCTTATCTGCCTAAAAAAATCTATTTTTAAAGAATGATGATAGATGCCCTTGAAATAGTTTATTGTTAAGTATTTTATCAACAGCTATTAAATAAAAAAATACTTTATATTGTTTGTATTTTATCTACCTACTTTATATTGTGAAAGGTTAGTAAGCATATTGGACACTTACTTTATATAAAGGTAAAAATTAATATTTTAGCAGGTTATTAATCTTAGCTTTGATTTGAATTCCTGTTTATAATACGATTAGAATTAAAATCATTGAATTAAACGATTCTAGAATGGTGTAATTAAATCGTTTTAATTATGTATGAAATTACTCAACTAAAAGTTGCATAATCTTTGTGTACTTGATATGAATTTGTTTTTTTAGATTACTGGCCATGCATATTGATGTAATGTTTACGAATAAAGAAAATTTGACTGTAACTTTTTCTTTTTTTATTTCGTTTTTACTGAAGTGAAAATTTGCATCTAAGAAACGACCAGTGTTCCCCAAAAAAACACACCTTTGAGCTAAGGACACATTCGAATCAAAGTATCTCTTAGTGAAGATGTTAACTTCCGTATTTACGTATTCTTTACATTAAGGCCATTAACGTAAAAATCTAAAGGATTTGGACAATATTGTTAAGTTGCAGAAAAACTACACAAATTATAATTTACCCGGGCATTGACTATAATACGTCTGTTTTAAGACATGCTTCTTGAATGTAATACCATAAGATGTTTCTGGATTACCGAAAATACTTTGATAACAGAAAATACCTGACACGAAATGCGTTACCCGGTATTGCATTGAGTGTCAGGCAAAAGTATTAGGTAGTCCCGAAACATCAAGTTGTATTCAAAAGATTCTACAACTCATGTATATTTTTCCTATATAGAAGGATGTAATTAATAAGTGATAATCATTTAAGTGATTATCGCTTGGTGGCCATATTATAATTGTCATTTTTTGAAATATTAATTCGGAAGTCATTTCTGTCTGTTCCACAAAATATCTCGTCAATTCTTATAATTATTATAATAAAAATGTTTAAGATAAGAAGGATTATGTACTTTATTTCGTTGTATAGTCTTTTAATGTTCATTTTTGTAATAATTAGGGCCTCCTTATATTATTGTGCCAATAAAAAAGTAGCATTTTTAACATTGCCCTCAGTTCAAGGTTATGTCGTAAATATCAGGACTAGGATCTCCGGAGATTGCATTTACTTAAATCAAGACAAATCTTTGATTTTTTTCGGTCGTAAGTTCTGAGGAACTTTTTCGTGTGTCTTAGACCGTTGGAGAATTCCAATTCCCGGTTACGGATGGACTCCTCCAAGTTCTTCAGTTCCATTTTAAGCTGGTTTAGAAAGCAGTTTTCTATCCCTTGGTGAGAGGACACCCAGAGAAGGAGGACTTTATTTTCTTTGCCTAATTTGTTCAGCTTCTCTAGGTATTCTTTGATCAACTTCGAATTGATGGTTACTGAGTTGATCGCTTTTAGTGCTGCTTGACTATCGGATAAGATGGCTATTTCGTGTTTCCGATAGTTCCTATCTAGTTCTTATAGCGTAGAGATATTTAATTACACAACGTTTTGGGCCAGATGTATCTATCTCTTGACTAAAGGATGAAATGGCTATTTCTTGTTTTTTCTTGTTTCCGATAGTTCCTACCTAGGATAAATTGTACGCATCTTTCGATAGCACAGCTTTCTGCCTGAAGGAGGCTGGGGTAGGTGCCCATTGGTTCGGAGTATTAAGTTTTCAGCCCAAATACTTTTATTTATTTTTCTGCTTTGCTTTCGGAAGTATCAGCATGCCACGTTATGGTATGGTTATTTGACTGCTTAGTAAACGTTTGTCTCTTTTATACAGGGTTTTAATTATACAAAAACGGAAAGATGTAGAAACAGAATCGTCAAAGAGAGACAACTAAGATAAATTAATTTTTTTCCCATCAACCACAGGTTTCTGCTTCTGCCTAATAGGTTTTTCCACAGAAAAAATACAGTTTGTGGTTTTTCTCATATTTTATATCAGCTCTGCGAAATAGCAAAAGCAAAAGCTTATGAAGACAATTCCTATTTAGATATCTTTGAGCATAAACCCTTAAGGCCAACAAGCAATTTTTTTACAAAATAAAATGATTTTTTCATTTTTCTTGATAAAATAATAAATACTTATTAAACTATTGTAGGTCTTTTAAATAAAAGTAAACTCTGCTATAAACTTAAATAAAGTCCATAAACTAATTTCGATTTTGAAAATAGTTACTAACTGTCACTAGAAAATTGCTAGCCATCTTAATTGCCATTTTATTGAAAAATCGCTTTTTATTCAAAATCTGAGCCAGCTGGGTATAAAATACCCTAATATAGTTTGAAAGAGCATTTAAATCTACTTCGACTTATTTTAAAAAATACATAGTGTTACGTTTTTTGAAACAACGAAGTTTTTATGTAAAATAAATATTTAAAATTTACCAGCAATTTTTGATATCTCTGTATACATTTAAGGAAGCAACCAAATTTTTCAGCATAGTTTATTTCTCTGGCTTAAAAGTCAGCACAAGAATTAATATCAGTAAAAATGAAAGTCTTGGTATTGGCATTACTTGTATTTGTGGCACTGGCCACTATTCAGGTAATTTTTATTTATTATTTTTGTTTTGGTGATATTTTTCAAGTCTTTTTAGAAAAGAAAAATGTGTTAGAATGTAGAGTTTTTAATAAAAGTATCTAAATAATAATTTTATCACATTACTAACTGATCTAAGTAATGAATATTTACGCTATAAATCCGGTAATTCACAACTTTGACAGTATGATTGAAATGTTTATCCAGAATTTCGAAAAAATAGTGAAAAACTTAATTGCAGACCAATGACGTACAATGTTTTACTGCATACTGTTTGCATAATAGCTATGTTTTTAAATAATTGAGTATTTTATATATCAGCTTATGCATGGGGTTTCGGATACTATAGTATGTACAGGATGTCCCATTTTCGTGTTTTATGGGGTTTCTTGTTTATGATACAAAGATACTGTTTTCACATCACCATGCTACTTTTTTATGAAATTAAAGGCGCTACACACATATTAGTCCTAACCGTTTTAGTTACTAAAAGTTACCATTCTTCATCATCTTGTATTCTTTCTTTTTCAGAAAAGCGAGGCGTTCAATCTATTCGGACGGAACAAGGAAGCGAAGAATGACTCCCAAGCATCTCCTCTGGATAGCAGTGAAATAAAAGAAGAAATTTCTCCAGCTTCCTCCAACAAACCTACTAGAAGACCTTTTCCTCCACCATCACCTTCAGATCGACCAGGACCACGTCCAAGACCTTCTCCGCGTCCAAGACCTTCACCACCACCACGTCCTTCACCACCATCAACACCTTGCGACTAACCTCCATTACCTCAATTACCATAGCCGTCGGATCAAGTTAAATTATTTCTTTCTGATAAGACATATCTTCCCAAAAAATAGTTTTTAATTAGTATATCCCTATATTAACTAAATACATTTTATTTTACTTTGGTTTTTGATATAATAAAATGAATTAGTCCTGATGTTTAGTTAACTGTTTTGTATAGTGTGCAAAATTCGATATACAGGGTGGTTCGAACTGCTATTATATATATATATATATATATAAACAAACTATCGAACATCTTCAAAAAGTACAAAATTTGAGAATCCCCCTGTAGCTTCGAAACCGATCAAGATACCCACGATCCGTTTGCGCCAATGTAATTTTTTCAAAAAAAGAACCCGAGACTGTAGTATCAAAATTTGAATATTTCTCACGGTTTCCTAGATACCCTATAGAAACAACCAAAATGGTCCACCCTGTACATTAAAATAAATAATAGCAATGGATCCGAAATTCATTCAGTTTCAAAGGCAACAGTGATAATACATTGTTACGACGATGAAATAAAAAGAGTGCGTCATTTCGGCTTCTCCATAATCATAAAGAGACCTTTCTGTCGAAGCTCATCTGCGACGCGGTATCGGAGTTGTGTACGAAAGCAAGGCGGTTCGAGGGCGGATTGTTAGTTACGCATCGATGGACGGAAAATATTAGAAGGCGTAGTCTCCCTTCTTGACGTAAATACGGAGGCTCTTTTTCAACCTGGTTCGGAAAATTTTAAGAAAGAGGAATTCCTTTTCGGAATTTCGAAAACATATAAAAAACAGAAAGAGGTCTGAAACTGTTTACACATAACAAAAGCAAGGGATATGTAAAATTAATCTGTAAGGACTGAAACATGATTTCATCACGCAAATGGTAGGTATTGTAACGTTTTTAGTTCGTTACATGTCTTTTTTATATATGATATATGATGTCTGGCGTATTATCACCGGATTCCGTATCGTTCAGGCCTGATAATTTGTTCGAGGCACTTGGCGTAATTTTTACGTTCTCTAATCCACAACCCTGTTATTGTTTCACTGCTCTGTGGAGGCGCTGTCAACATCGCTTGAAGGTTTCGCTCTCTGCGCTGTGGACTCACATTTGCTTTTGCTTTTTTTCAGGGTCCAAGGTACGGACTATTTCCAAGTTACGGACATTATCTTATGGTTGGATGTCCACTGTACGGATAGTTTATCCTATGTACAGAGTGCCCCAGCGTGGATGTGGCGTAGGCCCCATGCTGCATTGCTCCTGTTTTTAAGCCTAATCGATAGTTACGGCTGTAATAGTTCATGGTGTCCTCATCCTGGCCCTTTTTGTTGCATTGGCCGAGAGGCAGTACGAATCCCACCTCACGCTGCTACTCTTTGAAACAGGATTGCTTCAGGAACGAACAGCTAAGTTTAATTTTGGGTTCTGGTTTAATGTTTTACATGTTCTATATCCTCAGTCTTAAATAATATCGTACAGACTTTACGTTTAGTGGTTAAATTTCTTATGTTAGATTAGTATTTAAAATCTGATTTAGATCTTAGTTTCTTTGCAAATATTACGTTTTGTAATAGTACTACTTTCTATATATATTATTATTGTGTCATTTTGACAGATGAATAACCGAACAGGTCCTAGAATCTACGGCTTTCAACATCTTAGATTTAATATCGTATAAAATTTAACAAACTAATAAAGTAATGCTACTTTTTTATATTTTTAATAGCTCTATCTGTATTGTATTTTCCATAGTCTTTCATTGAACGTATTTAATATTATTTTTAACATAACTTTCTTCGACATAATATTACCACTATAATGATTAGAATTTTACAATGTTATTTACCATCAGAGTCCATGAATAAATATAGTCATTAGTTTTAAGTAATATACAACTGTGTTTTCTTTCTCTGTACATGCCTGGCGCCCAATATCTATATTCTTTTGTTTATTGTTATTAATTAGTTTTCTTTCCAGTGAAATACCTTATCCACGACTGCTCTCCAATGAAAAGCTGCCGTTCGCAGTTTTCGTTTGTTGTGTAAGGATACAAAGATGCGGTTTTCACATCACTGAACTACTTTTGTATGAAATTAAAGATGGTACACACAGATTTGCTCAAGCGCTCTTATTAGTTCCTAAAACACAAGGTGAGTTTGATTTTTTTGCCTTTTTGGACTGCCTTTTTATGTGGATTATATAACTTATCAAAAAGCTGAAAATTAAGTTTCGTAGAATTTTTCACGTAAATCTATCACTTTCGAATTATGACTCAAACTTATGTTTTTAGCTCTTTGGCACACCCTCTAAATAGTTTTTATTTTATCTATTTTATTATATTAGCTTTCTGAAAATATACTATACTCTTTGTTTTCATATCATTTTTATTTATTTTTAATTTGGAAAAATATAAACGGCATTATCCATTTTAGAAGATGCAAAATTTGTTATAAAGAATGTATTTTTCCCAAAAAGTTAATAATAAAAGTTTTTCCTCTTAGGTATAAAGACAATCCGGAGACATACTTTCTCTTACTCTACAGGGTGGTCCAAACTGTATTCCGGAAACTTTGGCAGCATATTCTGCAGATAAAAATAAGTAAAAAGTTTGTATAAATGCATGTCTTAAAATACTTAGTTTCGGAAATACAGGGTGTAGCAGTTTTATTTGCATATATATATATATATATATATATATATACATGCAATCCGCCTTTATCAAGACCGAAACGTACCACGCGCCATCATTACGAAGCCCGATTTGGTTTTAGGAAGCCCGATTCCGGGCTTCGTAAAAACCGCGTGTATATATTTAATATAGGCATCAGGAAGGTCATCTCTATCGATAGCCGAAAATCGGTCGGGCTTCATAAAATCTTAAAATATATCAAAATATACACCTCTAGTACCCATGTATGTGACCTAGGGGGCGCGTAAGCGCGTAACAGACATATCAAGTGTATAAAACTATTTTTTGGGAAGATATGTCTTATCAGAAAGAAATAATTTAACTTGATCCGACGGCTATGGTAATTGAGGTAATGGAGGTTAGTCGCAAGGTGTTGATGGTGGTGAAGGACGTGGTGGTGGTGAAGGTCTTGGACGCGGAGAAGGTCTTGGACGTGGTCCTGGTCGATCTGAAGGTGATGGTGGAGGAAAAGGTCTTCTAGTAGGTTTGTTGGAGGAAGCTGGAGAAATTTCTTCTTTTATTTCACTGCTATCCAGAGGAGATGCTTGGGAGTCATTCTTCGCTTCCTTGTTCCGTCCGAATAGATTGAACGCCTCGCTTTTTCTGAAAAAGAAAGAATACAAGATGATGAAGAATGGTAACTTTTAGTAACTAAAACGGTTAGGACTAATATGTGTGTAGCGCCTTTAATTTCATAAAAAAGTAGCATGGTGATGTGAAAACAGCATCTTTGTATCATAAACAAGAAACCCCATAAAACACGAAAATGGGACACCCTGTACATACTATAGTATCCGAAACCCCATACATAAGCTGATTAAAAAATACTCAATTATTTAAAAACATAGCTATTATGCAAACAGTATGCAGTAAAACATTGTACGTCATTGGTCTGCAATTAAGTTTTTCACTATTTTTTCGAAATTCTGGATAAACATATCAATCATACTGTAAAAGTTGTGAATTACCGGATTTATAGCGTAAATATTCATTACTTAGATCAGTTAGTAATGTGATAAAATGATTATTTAGATATTTTTATTAAAAACTCTACATTCTAACACATTTTTCTTTTCTAAAAAGACTTGAAAAATATCACCAAAACAAAAATAATAAATAAAAATTACCTGAATAGTGGCCAGTGCCACAAATACAAGTAATGCCAATACCAAGACTTTCATTTTTACTGATGTCTGTCGGTTGTGATGTTTGGGCTGTAAAAATAAGCAATATTTATACTACTAAACTTTGAGTGGCGGGGTGTTTTATCTTTCATATTTTGACATGGGGGGTATATTTCAAAATAATGTTTTTTTGCAATTAGATATTACAATTTATTTCTTAATTAGTCGTATAAAATGTAATCAGATTTGTGTAAGGTACGGTGATTCATTTATTATTAGTCTAATTTTCGTTTTCATAGTGCGAACTCAGCATTTCTTTTGTAATAATCGATTAATCAGTTTCAATTCAGATAAAGTAAAAATAAAATGTGATATACAATGCCAGTAACTACAATTTATACCGTGTTACAATATCTATAGAGCCTAGAAAATGCAAACTTGCGATTTACGATCAGAGTGTAGAACAAGTGGTGCCTTTTAAATATTTAGGGGCAAATATAAGAAGCACTAGGAATCTGAAGGAAGAAGTAAAAACCCAAAAAACAAAGGCATCATTAATATCAGGATACTTAAAGGATATAATTTGGCGAAATAAATATATGGGCGTCAGAAGCAAAGTTAAAATTTATAAGGCTTGCGTGAGACCGGTAATGGGTAGCTGTAATATGCGATAGAAACTAGAGCAGAGATACACAACACAATAACAAAACGGCTCCTAAGAACAACAGAAATGCGACCACTTCGATTAATTACCGGATATATCTTATATGACCGGAAAAGTGAAGATATAAGGGACACATTATGTGAAATTCAGGATGTAGTAAGATGGGCAAGAAACAGGAGAAGAGAGTGGAGAAACCATGTGGATAGGATGCCAAACGACCGCTTAGCGAAAATTGCTAAAGAGAAAAACCTAACTTGCCTCGATCGCCTGGACGACCACCTATAAAATGGTATGAAAGCTGGTCTTCATCATCCCAACTGTTCTTAGGGAACCATTGAAGAAAACACAGGACTTGGTTTGGATACTAACATATGAGAAAGTAGAAGAAGATACTGTGTTAGTCAAAAGTCTATAGCCAGGAAAATGGCAAACCAATGTTTTTGAAATTTTAGATATAGGTTATATTGACAATCGCCGATTCAAAAATCGTATCTGCGGTGCTGCCAGACTTATTCTTTTTCTAACGTCAATGCAATTTTTTATATTTTAGACACAATGCTATCAATTTTATACCTTTTTTAAATTCTACGTAATATTCTTATTCGGTAATATATTTATTCTATTTTTTCAGAAAACTTTCTATTGATAGATAAATAGATCAAAAGACTTGACTTTTGAGTAGTTAATTT